AACGCTGTTGTCACACCTTTTCAACTGCCACGGCAGATCCTAGCCCTCCTACCAGTGAATACGTACATTTCAACAAACCAGAATAAAAACACCAACACCACAGAGGTGTAACAGTTATAATTAACCCTTTCTAAAAGAAAAGATAAATGTAACAGGACATAATAGAATAACAATATAACATTTTTTCCTTTTTACTCAAAGCATGAGACAATATAGCAAACTGACATGCAACTTTTAAAAAGTTACATACATACCAAACATGGAAGTTCAGTAGTCATTTATCACCTGTCCCCAACTACCTTGACCTTATTCAGTTTCATAATCAATATTATCTTACTGCTTACTGGTCACCTGGCCAATACATTTCCAGATCTTGAAATCTGTCAACTATGTTAATCTGTTATCTGTTATAATTATGTTAATCTTGTTAATCTGTCAATTAACAAGGACACATTGGTACAAGTGTAATGAGAGTCCGTCTCAACAGTTATTCCATTGCCCCACCGATGAAGAGGTCACCCCTCCAATCCACCCACTCCCTCCCTTCCTCAAATAAATACGAATATCCACAGCCCTCCACGAAACTGTCTCATCAAGAAAGCCCTGAAGCATTATTTTTCTAGATACCAGCATGTTAGCACTGAAGAAACAGAAAAGGACCAAAGCACTCTAACAGCCTCAATTCCTGAGACATTCCTCGTGTGGAAATTTCCCTAGCATAGAGAAACGTAAGTTCACAAAATAATAGAAGACAAAATTTCCTACTCTTCTTGCATGCGCAGCTGTAGTGAAACTACTTATTGTATTGGACATTTTAATATAAACAAATGTAAAGTTTTTCAAAAATTTTTCCAATTTATCAATACTGTAGGTATATACCTCATTTTGGTGGTAGAGTTGTGGAGGGGCCTAACACAAGGAAACTACTTGGAATAATTTTTACCTAGGCCTCTCTAGGAAAATATGGTAAGATTAATACTAATATTAAGCTATAGAACTTGCCATAAGGGCCAGGGATATAGCTCAGCAGCACACAGCCTGCCTGGCAAGCAAAAGGTCATGAGTTTGATTATTGGTATAAAAAAAGTATCATTAATAAAATTAATGCAATTAGTAATATGTATTTTATGTATAAATTAAAATGACTAGTCTACATTGTTCTCAACTCTAGCAACAAAAACAGCCCTCGTTACACGTAGCTGCCGCCTCAAAGCTGTTTCTTGGCCATTAACCTAGAGAGCATCTTTAAAAGTGCTTTGCAGGTATTACCTATGACCTTGTCTCACGGGCACAGGGGGACGTAACACGAGAAAGCCACTCCAATCCGACCAGTGTCACGCAAACATGCGAGCACTTCGTGTATCACCAACGTACGCAGTTTGGGGGCGGGAACAGGGCACATCAGAGCAGTTCACAGCCACACACATTCTGCCTTCCGTGCGAGACGCCTTGCGATCTGAACACGGCGCGACTGCACCGCACTGGAGATGCAGCCAGGCCCTGTCCTAGAAGTTACTTTTTTTTTTTGAATAACTGAACTGTATGAAAAATGGAGTAAGATTCAATAAATACTTTGGTATACAGATGTACAGAGGAGGGTTTGGCACATACAGACACACAGACAAAACGGCCCCAGACCTAAGTGCAGCACACTGAGAATGACTAGCGGCTGACTGCGGGAACGCACAGGCTACTGAGGCAAGGCCAAGCGCTTACTGAAGGTTTTACGGATGCAGCACTGTCTTTTAAAATTACTTTAAAGGACAGGAAGAGTTAAGGTTTTTAGTCTGCCTAATGCAGAGGGGCCCTTGTGCTAGGGTCATGAACTACTTTTATCAGTAGAAGAGAGAAAATGGCTTTGTTAGTGCTTATTTACACTGATTTGTTGAGGATTAGATGGGTATCTTTAATCTCAAGCCTTTTTATTCAAATCAACCACCAACTCGGACTCAGAAACCCTCAGTTCCGTGTCATCAGTAAAACAAGCACACACAATACCATAGAAAACATATATAATTTATTAGACGGACTTGAAAGTCAACACAGATCAATTTCAGGCACTTCTTGAACACAGACTGTGGGAATTTTCTACCGAAGAACAGCGCATCTAGCAGGCAATAACATGAAAACTGAAGCTTTAGTCTTCAGAACAATATGCAACGGCTAGACAATTTTAAGAAATACTGTATAAGCAACCCACCAGTATCCTGTTATAGTTCCCACACCCACCCCACCCTTGTAAGGTTAATTTGAAGAAGTCACGTTTCAGCATTCAAAGTGCTAAATTCCAGTTTTCCACTACTCCATTATCATGGACTTAAAATTACTATATATTCTTTGATACGGTTTTACTTTTGTGTAAGTGGAGCTTTAAAGACATTGTCTATAACGTATCTGGATCTACAATCAATGCATATTATTCTGGTACCTTTTAAAACCCATTTCAATAAGCTTATTTTGTAAAAATGGGCTTATTACTAATTCCGTTAGACAGCTAATGCTGATTTTTGTTCTTTCAGTAAAAATGAAGGGGAAGAATGGAACTGCTATCTCTTATATACAAAGTACAGCAGCATACAGATACATTCTAACAAACACCTGCAAAGAAGACTAGAAAGTTGTCTACAGTTTCCTATTTACACTAACATAAACAGACTGTGAGGCTGTCTGTACTGTATGTGGCTGCTGTAGTCACAGCAGGAAATGTGAAGTGCCCGTGGAGAGGGGACCCTGGGCCCCACCCTCCAGGCATCTTAACACTCTACACTCAGGCAAAAGGAGACCGGGGGACCTCACGCCTTTCTTCCCTTACCCGCCCTGCACTTGTCTGTGATGCACCGTCACCACCTAACACACACTTCGTAAAAGGTCAGAAACCAGAGCTCTTCCTCCCTTTATTTTACGCCACACCTCTAAGAATTTCACCACCTACATTAAAATGCCGACCAGCAGTGCTAAAGCACGTTTCTATCCGTAAGGCAAAGTGCCGTGTAAGGAAGCAAATGCCCAGGCCCTGCTGCCCCGGCCCACTCACCTCGCCTGCATGTTTGCCCATCATGAAGGCCAAGATGCGCTGCAAAGATAAAGAAAACTAAACAGTTCAAACAGAGCCCTCAGTATAATGTGAAAGGCCTGTTTTATAAATACCACTGGGGCAAAATTAAAAATAAGTCAAATGCTTCAGCACATGATCATTTCCACCAAACTAAGAGAAGTTATATGACTTTCAAAATTAGTATCAAAACAGGACATTTAAATCCAGCGCATGTACAGAAGTATAAATTTTTGTTCTTTTCAAAGCTGAGCACAATGATGCTAAATGAGATATTTGTTTATACTAAAAAAGTAGTATATTAAAATCCCAAAGCATTCCCCTTTGCTTAATTCCACTAAAGTTACCTTTAAATTGGCTGTACTATTCCACTTGGAACCACTACTATTAAATTATTTTGGTATTTTCCTGCAAGAACTGATGTTATTTTTCCCCAGCTGTAATCTTGGTTTTATGTACAGGGGCACAGCTACCATCTTATTTTTGATGTATATCCTAGAAGGGTAGAAAACCAAAAACTCGTGTTTTGTGAGTGTGGTATAAGATCTCACGCATTCTCAGGTATGATGTCAATAATCAAGTATATTAAACCAACTATAGCAACGTAGTACATGCTTTAAATACCCAACGGAAGAACACTACAGACAACATCTGATGACAGGGCGATGTGCTGGTATCACGGTGGACTGATGCGGTAGCAATCCAGGAAACTGAACACATTATTATTCAGATTAAAACAGAAAACCAGTAAAAGGTATAGCTTTTCAGGGCTACTTTACAGAATATTTGTCTCTGAGGAAATTACAAAATAGATTTGGGTTTTTAAGAGAATTTTTAATACACAAGTCATCTCTTGTAGTGATTAGAAAAAGTACAAGAACATATGAATAAAGCTTAGTACTTTAAGATTTACTTTTGTAAAAGCATGTTGACAAATATTAAGTTTTTTGATCTGCATTTGAACAGTAAAACAAATATAAAACACAAAAATCCAATGTTAATACTGATCTTCCACGCCTAATTGGGATTTAGATATTGAGTAATTTATATTTTATAGAAAGAAACTTCCAACGTTTCCTCAATGCTTTCATTGTATGTACTGTCATTCTGTACTGAAACTTTCACTGAAATTTAGAAAGCTGGTGTTAAGGGTAGTTATTTCTTTTCTTGAATATTCTATAACATGCCGTTTTTAATTAACCTGCAAAATTTCAGAATACAGCACACAGAGTACCCAAAAATATGCTTTAACATAGGTCAATTTTGTTTATAATTTTTTGTTTATAATTATGACAAATATCATTAACTTTAACATAGTAAAAGATAAACCAACAAGTCCTATGCAAATATAAAAGATGTCTTGGGTCAAATTATTTCTCAGTACAAATAATATACCATGTCCATCAATTTCTCAATCAAATTCACGAAAGACTTAAAAAATTACACTTTATAATTGTTAAACAGTGCATTTATGTGGTGGAAGAAGATATACGAAAACTTATAGAAACAAAATCTCAAACTTTTATTCCAACTCCTAAAATAAGAGATTTGCAAATTAAGAAATTACCAATGTTGCCTGGAAAGCATGCCTTACTCATATCTCAAATTCACTTTAATTTCTTGACATACAATTCAGTACTTTAAAAGACTGTAGCTAAATTGTTATTTTTAGAATGTTATTTCTCTGGATAGACATGTTTCACACAGTAGTTTTCAATTAAGACATCACTGGATAGTTTTAATCACAATTTATGATTAATGGATTAACAATGTATTCGGCAATTCAAACGCATAACAACAACAAAAAGAGGCCAGGTGTGTGCCGCACGCCTGTAATCCCAGCACTTGGGAAGCTGAGGCGGGAGGTTTGTTGAGAGTTCGAGACCAGCCTGGGCTACAAAGTGAGCTCAAGGCCAGCCTGAACTGCATGGCGAGACCCTGTCTTGAGAAAAAAAAAAAAAAAGTGGTAATTCCTCACTGTGCAGTTCCATCCATTAGTACTACCAAGCCAAAAATGTGACAGTCCACTCGGTTGGATTGTGCTCCCGTGTGTGCTACTGAGCAACAAAAACTAGGTACAGCATGTCAAGCTTTTTCTTTTTTTTGAAAAGCAGCTCCATGATTTGAGGGGTTGGTTAATACAATACAGATATTATAGGGGAAAAGTAGAAAACAGCACTTTAACACCAGTGCCAGTATTATCTCATTATGGTAATCACTAAGGGTATTATTAATTTTCATTATTTGCTTTTCTTAGAACTTGAATCAAAGCCATTAACTTGAACGTGAGGTATATATACAATACATACATAGCCTTAAGCAAAATACTTTTTGTAAGTAACATTACATTTCAAAATATTGGACACAGTATGTGCTGATTTGTATTTTGACTTAATGGAACAAGAGAACAACACTCAACTGGGAGGGTTATATTGACAATAAAGCTCTTTAAAGTTCAAAACGTCTTCCTCTCCCTTTGTACTTACCACAGGCTCTAAAATGTCCTGAGAGGGTTCATTGTGAGAAAAGTATCAATCACAGCTTTAATATATACTTTGGAGGGAACTAATGAGAAAGCAAACTGGAAAGTGAAACGTCATCCTTGTTTTCAAATAAGTGGTCTTAATTTTTCTTCTTTAGAAAAAGTTTACGTCAGTTTATTATAAATATATCTAAACCATTAATTTTTGCAGCTTTCAGGTAGAGTCCAGCACTTTGTTTACACAAAGTCCATGAGAAGAGTCAGCAGAGATCATCTAATCTTAAGTCGTGACATCATCCACTCAAGGCCTTGGCATAATCTACGAAGGAAAAAAATCATCCGATTACACTCTGAATTACAAAGCTATGGACTGCAAACTAAAAGGACGCTTTTCATTTACTTGAAAAACAAAGCTTTCAGCATCAGTAACATTCGAAGCAGCTGCCGCTGCAGTGAAGCCACACTCCCACAACAGTATGCCACACTTTCTGTCAGCGCACGTCCCTGACACGGGGTCACGTGGTAGGCTCTGGAGAGTACCATGTGCAACATGTCAAAACTATTAAAACTATCAGCACTATGCACCCACTTTTCTAATCCTAGGTATGCATCAAAAATCAGAGTGAAAAAGATTTGAGACTGTTCATACAGTACTTTTAAGAGAAAAAGACAGAATTTAGATGTGTAGAAAGAAAAAGCTGACAAATTATGAGATATTCATATTATGAACTATTAAAACTTTAATAATATTTTGATATGAAAATGCTCACAAGTATAAATAAAAAAGGATATTAAACTAAACATAAACTTGTTAACATAAGGTATACATACATGTGTATCACAAATGAATATAAAAAAATATGAAGGCAGGGCCCGGGGATACAGCTCAGCAGCACAAGTGCCTGACTGGCAAGCACAGGGTCCTGAGTTTGATTCCCGGTACCAAAAAAAAAAAAAAAGGGTAATAACATCTCACATCACTAACACAAGTTATCACTGAACAGTGGGTAACTGAACTAATCTGAAATACAGGAAGGGCTGGTTTGGGAGGATAAGGCAGGAGGACCTCAACTTGGGGCCAGCCTGGGAATACAGCAAGACTCCATTTCAAAAAACAAACAACAGAATTTTAAAATATAGAAGGAAAGAAACTGTAGATTATGACAAAACAAGGGACTGTCATGAAGTACTAACTACTACCTATGAGGTTTTTGTAGATAAGAAAAAACTATACTGCAATCTTATATCTTAAAAACTTCGTATGTCCATGTCATATACAAGTCTAATATAAGAAAAGATAAAAATAAATGGCAAAGAGGTAAACAAATAGTTGTTTTGGGGTGGCCTATACTTTTCTCCAGTAACTAGGTTTCTACTTTTAAACTACTGATAGGAAACATTATGAAATAATAAATGAATAGCCTTAACTTCAGATTGTGAAATGAACATTATTTTTCTAATAGCAAGCTAGGAACTGTACTAAGCATTTGCCATCATTATTTTAATGAATCTTCACAACAGTAAGATCAGAATCTTCTCCATGTTACAGAAGACACACAGGCTAGCAAATGACGGAAGTGGGAACTAAAAGGAGGTCCATTTCCGAAGTTTGAGACCTCCAGTGTGTTAGACCACACGTTCACCAAAAGCTAAAGGAAAACTTTGGAGCAAGGCATTCCTTACTGCAGAAGAGAAATGAAACACCTTCAAACTGAAACACCGCTGCTTGCCAACTGCTCCAAGGGAACCCTGTACGAACTTTATCACTTTGAAAAAGTGGTGCCAGCTACGGTCTTCCTCCTTTTAAGCGGAGACGGACTTTGCAGCTGTACCATGCAAGTTACGCTGTCCGTGCAGTTACTCACTTACCCAAGCCTAGAGACCTGTGCTTCCTGCCAAGCTTAATGCTGTGATCAGTGGTTCTGACCTGACGGGAACATACCTCAATAGGCACTAAACAACCTGACAAGCGCAACACGCTTTACCTAAATAAATATGCAGATAACTGGCTGAGCCTTTTCATGAACAGCTTTGCTGTAAGGTTCTAAATATGCTCTTCCAAACGTCTACTTCCCTGAGACCTTGCTTCAATAAACTCAGAAGACTGGTTCGCCCTTCATCACGGTTTTAAGAGAAAAAAATTCTCTCTACTGAGGTCACCAAGCTGTAGCCCCGGCTTCTGCCCTTTCTGAATGCTGTACTTCAGGAACCTCAACCTGAAACTGAAGGCTTATTTTTAGACACCTCCATATCCAATTTAATTCTTTTTCTGCTTATACAGATCTACTCAATTTTTGAAAAATAATGAAAAACTTTCTTGAGCCCGTTCCGGCCTTAGTGTTTATCTATTTCAGCTTGCCTTCCCTTCCTTGCCACACTGCAGAGATTGCAGCTGTTAACCCCGAACCCACCTCCCCCTTTTCAACTGCTATCTTCAATTCTAACACAAAAACATGGCACAAGGTAAACAGGTGAGAACGTCCTGACTTCTCCAGCTCAGCAGCATGCCGGCCTCTGAGCTCCTCAGCAACTACATCACCTGCGCTCCTGTATGGACCAGCTGGGCAGGTTTGTATGTATACTGTTTATGCTGTGTTCTGGTATTTTAACAATTACCCTAAAAAAATCTCTGACTATGCACACCAGCTATGCCTTACATCTCCCTCTCAAATATTTACTGACCTTACAAAGACACGTAAGTTCTGAGCTAGATGCATGTCACCTAAGGGGAAGGTTTCTTACCCTTCGCCAGTAAGCGCACAGCATGCCTGGATATGCCACTGGTGATCTTTAATAGAAGTGAGCTTCAAGAACTGGGAGATTTCTGCTACAGTCATGCATTCTTTAACATCTTGTTTATTAGCAAAAATCAGCAGTCCAGCTTTCCTTAGGTCCTATAAAAGCAAATGAATCTTTAATGGCAAGTACATTTTTCCATATACTTTCCAATTTAACTATTTCTTATAATCTTAGTAACCTAGAATTTATTCTACACAAGTCTCATAGCTTACAAGTTGACAGAAGTAAACTTAGACAGTTCTGTACATTTTAAATAAATAAAAATTGTACAGATGTATGTATTTCTTAGTCTTGGCATTCTTTTTTAGGGAGGGTCCTAAGCACTTTATTTTACAGTCATCTGATCAAATATATATCCACTACCTGAACACAGAATGAGGCTAAAATGGACAAAAGCCAACATCAGACGTATTCAGGGGCTCTCCAAGGTTCTAACTTGCACTGTACATTTCCCGCCTCACCTAGCATCACTCACTGTAGAAACCCTGTTTTAACTCAATCTGTCTCGTGCTCTGTGAGCAGCTTCGAGCGGTGCTGTCTGCCGTTCCTGTCATTTCACCTGCATCCATTCCTTGCTCTCAGCCTTCCAACACAGCTGTTCACAGCCAGAGTTTCACAGGAGAATTAAACCCTCAAGAGTCCTTTCAGTGACTATGCCGTCTCCCAAGTCCCCCACCAGGGTACACGGCTGCACCTTCCAGGCGTGTAAGGAATAAATGAATTTACTGTAGGCCTTCAGGCCTACACTTCTAGTTGAGACACACTATTCTAAACTAATCCCACCTATCCTCTTTGTGCAAGATTTCTGAGATCTACATATGCAATAGGGTCATCTTGGATTGGCATTACATTTACTAAATCTCCCCAATTAGGAAGTTCTATGCTATCAGTCTGAGGCAAGTTCTTTAAACTTTTTGAATTTGTTCCTCACTTGTAACATTTGTTGCACATCTGATCCGAGGAAAAACTCACCAACTAACCCCTTACCCAACTGCAGTGACTGCGCACGCTCCACGTGCCTGGTGTTTCATTCACAGCACAGGTCTAAGGAGCCTCAGTCTCTGCCTGTCCTGCTCCTCCCCACCCCAAGCCATGTGAAAGGCAGAGATTTACTGGGCAATTTAATTAAGGTCACAGACCTTTTCCTCATACCAATAATATTCTTTGAAGTTTACATACTATTTCATAGTGTTAATACATAACCCCAAACTCAATTCATGGATCCTAGGCCAACAATCCATTAAGGATGTAACTCAATTAATGAATTAAAATCCCATAAAACTGTATAGATAAATCTTATTTGGAAATCTTATTTCTGTATTACTTATTTATATATATAAATCTTACTTGGAAATACTGACAAAACCAAGGTTTGGTCCTACCCTTGCAAATTTCCTTAGCTGTGTTGTATATCATTTTGCTTTTAGTGGAACATTTTGGATTTACTGAGTATATGTGTTTAAACAACATTCTTCAGTAGGTATGTCAGTATTATTCCATAGTATTTTATTTTTTATTACTTCTCTCTTACATAAATAAAATTTCTTGTCTGGTTAAAAGGACTTACGCAAAATGTCTTAGGCACGCCACGGCTGACTTTTAGTTGTGCTGCCCCCTGCCGGATGGCAGCTATCACGGCTACCACAGTTAATGATGCAGCTGCCTGAACAGCAAGTTCAAAAAGTGGTAATGCTACAACGTTAAGCTTTAAATTGTTGTGTTCAACTAGTTTCACCTATAGTTCAGACCATGTGTCTCCATAAAACTCGAAAAACTGGAAGAGAGAGACACATAATCATCATCAGAGGCATACATTTTTTCTTCTGTTCTAAGTAGATTGGTTTTTTTTTTTTGTCTTTTTGAGACAGGGTCTCCCTATGCAGTTCAGGCTGGCCTCACGCTCACTTTGTATCCCAAGCTGGTCTCAAACTTGCAGCAATCCTTCTGCCTCAGCCTCCCGAGTGCTGGGATTACAGGCATGCGCCACCATGCCCAGCTTTTTGTTCTAAATAGAAAACTGAACCATTATCAATACTTGATATGTGGCTGAATCACGGAGGAGATGAACTTTCCATGGGATTTAATTCCTACCTTCCTGTCTCCTCAGTTTCAGTATCTCTTGGGAGTGTGTACTGAAGTCTTCTACAGTGGTCAGACCTGACAACGCTGGCATGTCCAAAGAACATGCTGCTGACATAAATACTGGGCACACAGGGCAAACACTTCTCTATTATTTTACTTATAAATACTTTATACTCATCGTTCTTATTTAGTGTTAAAGTTATTTAGAGAAGTCCTTCAACAGAAAATACAAAAACGTAAGAAATAAAGCTATTTATTGAAGGGCCTCCAAAAAATAAAACACCAAATATAACTTTTTCTACATATAAGGTAAGGTCAACCTTTATTTGGGAGTTTTTGACTTAAAAAGCCAGCTGCTTCTTATGTTTAGATATTTAGGAAAAGAGGCAAGAAAAATTATCTTTGTTTTTCATTACATAACTATAAGACCAATTATACACTATGATAGCAACAGAAAAAATACTGGATTAAGGCTGATCATCAATGTGACTTAAAAACAGATCCAAATATGAGATGAGCAGTGGTGACTACACATATGCCACTCTGAACACACTCTGCTGAGTATTACATGCACTTGTTCGTCACAGTCTAAAATGCGTTTTGAGGGGCTGGGGATTTAGCTCAGCAGCACAGCACCTGCCTGGCAAGCGCAATGTCGTAAGTTCGATTCCTGGTATCGGAAGAAAAACAAAAAACAAACGAACAAAAATAAAATGCGTGCTGTTCCAGTCTAGAAGACAAATGACAGCAAATGCACATACTAAGCATCTTCCATGTTCTACACATAGACGTCACTTTGTTTCTCCACGCTTCATCTGTGAAGGTAATTCCTAGAAGCTGAGTCATTAGGAGGAAAATTTTGGGTTTTGGTGTTTGGAATCATTCTTAGATGCATTATCTTCAAAGTTTTAGACTTTACTTAAAATGATACTTTATTTTAAAATTTCAGTTTTGTATTTTCTGAATACATGTAAGAAATATTACACCAATGATGATAATGATTAAGTTTTTGTTGTTTAATGTAACAAGTATGGAACACCCCAACTTATCCCTCCCTCTGCCTCTCCCCCATCCTCCCGCCTCAGCCTCCTAAATAACTGAGATTACGGGTGTATCCCACCATGCCTGGCTGCACATTCTCACTTGTTAATCCATCTTAACTCCATGTACTTTGGCCCTGCTCAAACTCCCTAAATATTCAGCACCTACCTTTATGTGAAATTCCTTTCCTCTACTGTCTCCATTTATGTCTATTTCTCTTTTCTTCCCCTAGCAAAGAGCCTGAATAGGAATCCCTAAGTTCAAACTCTGGCTCTTAAAAACTGGTCAAGTCACATACATTGTCTGTGCCTCAATGTATTTAATTTATAACAAATGAAGTTAAGTACTCCGCCCAACTTAATGCTCCCAGCTAGCAAAAGTAAGACTTTTTGAGTCTTACTATGAGGCTCTTAAAATACTGATCCTGCTACATATAGCCAATTAGAATACCAATCAAATGAGGGAGTCTACCTGTTAATACAATAAAAAATATAGTAAATGACATTTGTATCTCTGTTTCTCTTTCCAAAGAGAAACAAAATATTTGTATCAAAATTCATGGAAAACCAAATTTGATGAGTTTCAAAAAAGTCAAGCACCAAGGTATGGCTGTATCCCAAACTAGGACCAAATTGGTAAATAAATGCACAATAGCAAGATTTGTTTTTTGCAAACTCCAGGAGGTTTACTATAACTGCCGGAATTAAGAGTCCAAAATAGGGAAAAGAGCATTTTGGTGGACAGGATCACTAAAAAGAAAAAGAGAGCTTTCAATTTATTAACAAACTTTTACTAGATTTTCTAAAACCTTTAGAATAAACTGAAGGATGATGGTATACTTTTTGTAAAATGCACAGTGGAAAGGAAAAAAACCCTTATTTTCTCTTTATTTTATGGCTTAATGCTTACATAATGGTATCGTGGTACTAATTAATTCCTTTCAGGAAGTGTGATAAGTATCAAAAATGATGCACCTAAATAAACTGTTTTGTCTAGTGTTAAAGCTTGTGCCTAGATGTTCCCTCAAAGCCTCATGCAGTCATAGATGGGGCTTTTTCAGAGGTGGCTGGATCTAGAGTGTGTGACATTGGAATCGACTCATGGTACAATGCTAGGATCAAGGGCACTAGGATTAAGACTATGAGTGCTACCCTCCCTAAAGAGCATGGACAAGATAAAAAGGACAGGAAGAGCTGCGGTCATCTCATTTGCTGTGCTACCTTCTGCCTGCCATGAACTCTTTCTCCTCTGCAATGCCTGTTTGCCATGCCACCCTGCCTTGGAGCCTACAAACTGTGAGCAAATAAACCTTTCACCTTTAACTTTGGGTGTCGGGTATTTTGTCTCAGCAATAACAGAAAAGTAACTAAGACAGCTAGAATGGGTAGTGAGTCAGAGTCACGAGGCACTTGACATATGAGTTCTAGCTTGCTCATCAAGCACCAAACAACAAGGACCAGGACAAAATGTTTTTGTGGAAAACTAAATCTGATGAGTTTCAAAGGAGCTGCATACCAAGATATGACTGTACTCCAAACTAGAAACAAACTGGTAAATGAATGCACAATAGCAAGATTTGTTTTTTGAAAATTCCAGGTTTAATACAGCTGCCAGAATTAAGAGTCCAAAATAGGGACAAATACATTTTGCTGGACATGATCATTAAAAGGAAAATGAGGGCTTTCAATTTATTAATAAACTTTACTAGATTTCCTAAAGTCTTTAAAGGGTGCCTGAAACAGCACAATTGTTAAAGCAAATAGAAACCATCAAATCACTGTTACATATAAAACTTCATCACAAGGGTATCTCAATTTTCTTAAGCTTTATAAAAATCCCACTTAAATAAATTTATATACCTACACGTTAATTTTTCTACCCCTATTTGTAGTTGAGAAGGTGGCAAGAATAAAAAGCATTAAAATAATAATTATTACTACAGTAAATATGATTTTTAAATTTCTATTATCATTACTGATTGGCTATATTACTCTGTTTTGTAGTGCTGGAGATTGAACCCAGAGCCTCACACACACTAAACAAGCACTGTATTACCAAACTATATTCCCAATACTAGTTTATTTAATTTTTAACCTTTTTTGGGTGAGGGGGGTTGAGACGAGGTTTCACTACATAGTTCAGGATGGTCTTGGACTCACTGTAGCCCAGGCTGGCCTTGAACTTTCAGCAATTCTCCTGCCTCAGCCTCTTGAGTGCTGGGATTACAGGCGTGTGCCACCGTTCCCGGCTTAATTTTTAACTTATGTCACTAATAACATTCTTCAAGGATTAATGCAATGTGGCTAGTCATATAATTCTGTTTATGCACATGACAGTACCAGAAAAACCTAAAAGCAACTATATTTAAATATTAGCTGATAACTGAGAAATAACCCAGAACTGTTACATATGCAGGTCTTTAAAATATTATTTCCGATAATACCCTTTATATGTCTAATCTATTTTAACTGCAAATGAAAGTTACTTGTGCACTTTGTGCACGTGAACTTCCAAACCCCATTCATCAAGGTGAATGAAACGCTGCTCTCCAGCTGATGTACAATCTTTCTGCTGTCTCCAGCAGCACTTCAGATTTGGGAAGTACAAATCATAGAGCAAGCAAGGCCAGCAATAAAGGATTTTTTTTAAAAAGTTTAAAAATAGGTAACATTCTCATGACAAATCAGAAAAAAAAAAAAAAATGACCCACAAATACCCTCCTCCCACGTCTGACAGAAAACTGACTTACCTCATGAGCCAACATTTTGTAGAGTTCTTCCCTAGTTACAGAAATCCTCTCTCTGTCTGTACTGTCCACAACAACTATCACAAACTAAAATAATTACCAAAAACATCATTAGTGATTACGTGTCACTCGCATTTGAAAATTTATGAAGTGCTTATTTGATTTACAGGCTAATATCAAGACATTAGAGGCTTACAGTATTTCGGAAAATGACAAGTAGGTACCTATTACACATTGTAAACCCTCTAATTAAAATATATTTACTACTGCTTAAAAGAAAATAAAGGATAATCAGTATATACCTGTTGTTTTCTAAGTTACTTACCTTGAATGCTAATAGGCCTACATCCATCTATATGCACTGTAAGTCAACAAAACCCAAAACCAAACCAAACCAAAATAATCTAGCAATGGGCTGGGGATTTAGCTCAGCGGCAAAAGCGCCTGCCTGGCAAGCGCAAGGTCGTGGGTTCGGTTCCCGGTACCGGAGAAAAACCCAAAAAAAAAAAAAAAAAAACCAAAATAATCTAGCACTAAATTTAAATTACTTCCAGAGAAATACTATTTATTAATATCCATTTCAAAATCTAAAAGGGCACGTGTATCTGGCAGTTAAATCAAATTTTTAAAAAATTAACAAATTAAGAGTAAATCTGTATCTAAAGACAGGCTTTCCAACTTATAGCAATGGCACTTGTGGCCTGCAAGGAACTCTTTCCTAAACTGAAGGGGAGCCTCGTATCAGAAGACACCTGGAGACTCAAGGCTCTGTGTAGGGCTGACCTCCTGCGAATCTCTTTCTCAACTCCATGAGCACCAAAAAGCAAGCCAGACACAGGAGCAAGTGTAGTGTTAACTTTTTTTTTTGGTACTGGAAATCGAACTCGGGACCTTGAGCTTGCCAGGCAGGCTCTTGGGCCACTGAGCTATATCCCTGGCCCTGCGTTAATTTATTTACAATAGCCTATATGAATGATGTCCAAGCTAATGCTGACTGCTGGTTAATAAAATGTCCTATTTATTTTTTAGAACTAGCTATTAATCTAAATAATGTACTGTGATTTCCAGAGCCTCTATTATTCTTCAGTTTTCATCAACCATAAGCTAGATAAGAAAATTACTACTTTCTTTTTTCACTTGATAACTTACTGATATGTGGCTTTATCACTGTTATCCCAAGGTATTTTCAAGGTGCTAGCATGATTTAATACCTAAGGATTGTATGTAAGGAAGAGTTTATGAGCACATACATTTTTTTCTTTTCCAAAAATATGACTAAGTAATAAGAGTGTTGAGGGTCAAGTTCTTAGAATACTTAATAGTTTCTTAATGACTCAAAACCCAGCTTTACATATCTTTAGAGTATGCTTTATTAACTTAAAATTAGCACTACAAAACCAACTGCAATATCCTTTTAATTTACAGGCTTATACTATGAACACATGTGTCCCAGGTCTAAAATTTTCACTTGGGAAGTTATTTATAAATAAGAAACATATGATTATGGAAATACTTTTTAATCAAAAGAAAACAATTTCTTCAATGGGCAATTGTTCTGCATAGAAGAAAATACTTAGTAAAACTGACTCACATGCAAACCACTAGGATTTTCATTAACTGTAATTGCCCCCACTTTGCCAAACATCAATAGTAAGAAAAAAATTACCAATACTTAAGTTCAATACACAATAGCTACTAATTCTTCACACAGAATTTCCACGATAATGAATCTACAGAGCAATGACCCTGAATGAGGCAATCAAATATTCTACTGGGCACATATTAAACACTTACATTTTTAAATATTAGCTATTAGGGTTCAAATCTACAAGCATTTTGCTCATAGAAGCTGTAGCATATTAAGAAACATTACCTCTGTATTAGTATAGTAAGTGTTCCAGGACGAGCGAAGAGATTCTTGGCCACCAATATCCCACATCAGGAAACATGTATTATTAATCACTATCTCTTCTACATTACTTCCTATTGTAGGGGATGTATGTACAACTTCATTCATAGAACTGGAACAAAAAGTTCAAACACATCACAATTTACAAGGAAGCTAGCCTATTTGACAATTTCTCAATCAAGGGACAAAACAGCATGACTTCCTTTTATATTTTATTCCCAAATATCTTTTCACCACTACCTCATATCAGTAGTAAATTTACTGCTTTCACAAAATTCAAACTTAGTAAAAGAATATCTAGAATATTCTATACTGCTCTAGGAAACTATATAATAAAATATTATTCTATTTTCCACAGGCAAAAGAGCTGAAAAACATTGTCAATGGCACATAAATTTCTAGCTCTCTAGAGAGTTGCTTAAATTTGGCTCTGAGTTTATGACTAACCCTTCTCCTTGACAGACTAACTTAGTCTCTATATAATTTTTTTTTTAATTTTAAAGAGAAAAAACCAATAAAAATGATAACAGAATTTCAAAACAAGGTAATAGGAAATTAACAATGGCTATTACATTGCATATTGTTATCTTAAAGTAGCTGCTTAGATTACAAGATACAGGCATGCAAAACTGATCAAACAATATAAATATAAACCATGGTATATTTATCTTAGCTATCTTGTATATATCTGTATATATTTTTTTCTTCCCCCATCCCAGTTGTTCTTTCCTTTAAAAAACTAGGATTATTCCCCTTCTGAGTATTTTCCCAAAAGAATTAAAAACATCATACCACAACAGTACATGTGCACCCATGTTTACAGCAGCTCAATATGTAATAGCTAAATCTTGGAAACAACCCAAATGCCCATCAGTCAAGGAATGGATAAAAAGTGGTGTTTTTATACAGTGGAGTATTACTTAGCCATAAAAAAGGATAAACTTGAGGCTTTTGTAAGTCAATAGATGCCACTAGAGACCATACTCATAAGTGAAATAAATCAGACTCACACGTGTAAGCATTGTACTGTCGCCCTAGTGTAAAAACCTGAAAGAGTAAATAAAGCTGAAAGGTACAATAGATATTGCGAAAGGGAAAGAAACTGCTCAAAAGGTTCTATATAATTTTTATTGCTCTTACTGATCAAATACTATACAAGCAGAAAAATATAACTAGAAAATACAAAATAAAAAATTTAAGGTAGTTAATACTTACAATTGGTAAAGGATGGTAGTTTTCCCTGCATTATCCAACCCAACAATGATAACTTTGTGTTCTGAAATAAAGAAAACACCAGTGACTTAATACTTATATACAAAATAAAGAGAAAAGAAAGGATGGAAGGAAGGAAAAGAGGAAGGTGGGAAAAGGAGAAGGGAAATGAAGAGAAGGGAAGGGACAAAGAGGCAACAGATTCCTATTTCACCCTTCTTTCCCTCTGCGTAATTCAGTGCATAACAATTAATTATGCCCTCTTGGAACTCAAAAGAATACCCTAGCAAGACCCACAGAAGCATCCTGTTAAGCTCATCTTTCTTTTTTTTTAACCTTCCTCATTCAACATCAAGATCTCTTTATCTTTTCAATATCCTGCATGGGAGGCCAGAAGTACAATATTTCTTCTTCTGCTACAGGACCCTATTCTGAGAGAAGTATTCCAAATTCAACCCTAACAGTCTACACATAATTTATAAATGCTTCACACCGGACAAAGCCACTAAAGTTCCATCTACAGAATTTTAGGCATTAGTTAGGTCTGTATATATGGGAGAATGGGGGGAATGGGAAAAATGAAAGACAGTTTTGCAATGTGTTACTCTAAATCATTTGTATGGTACATTTAAACCACCACACTGCTTTACAACAGGACAAACACATCGAAGGCCTACGGCTATGGTGGTAGTGAGTACCTCCACACTTGGTTTCTGTGGCGTCACTTTTTAAACTCCTAAAAAAAAAAATCTAACCTGACTTCAAACGATCGGATGCCTGCCTTCTTGAACCCACTTCACCTGTAAGCAAAGCACTTTAGTACTCATGTATTTTCAGACTGTCTGAAATTGTCAGCAGAGTGACAGGAGAAAGCTAGTTTCCAAAAAGCGTTCCTGGTCAGGTATGGAGATGCACACCTGTGATCCCAGCACTTGAGAGGTTGACCCAAGAGGACTGCCCCAAGGTCAAGGCCAGCCTGAACTAGAAAGCAAGACCCTTTCTCAAGCCAAATCAAACCAAAACAAAGAGAATTCGGGTAGTTCCCTCCTCTTCAATCTGAGGTAGCTCTGAGAGTCACTTTTAATCCACAGAAACAACCATGTGTGACTTCTGAGTCTAGATCACCAAGACTTGCACTTGCTACCTGGCTGTTTTAGACAATTCCCACTGGGATAAACAGGACACTGTATTAGTAAGACCACCACTGCTGTGCAGTTGAGGGAGGAAGATCAGGCTGATCAAGTGGTGAGACTTTACCGAGTGAGATAACCAGCCAGTCCCTGGTGGCCAGCCTCCCCAGCTTTCAGGAATTCTAGCCGAGACACCAAATGCATGAATAAAGAAATCCATCTTAGAAATGCAAGCTGGTTGAATCTTTAGATGACTATATAAGTACATCTGCCATTTGACAGCCAAATAAAAGTCTCCAAGCTAAAATTTTCTAGTTGAGATTAGTCAACTCACAGAACCATGAAGGGTAACAATAATAATAACAGTAACAATAACAACATCCCAATAACAAGCTTGAGATTATGTGACCTTGGCAACTATATCTGACTTGAAGTTTCTTCACTGTAAAACAGAAAAACTACCTATCTTTCAAGGGTGTGTAACAATTAAAATAGCACACAGCAGTGCCTTTTACCTAGAGACAGTTCCTAACCTGCTGTAATAGTTAACTGATTGTGTCTACTCGAGTAAGAAATGCTCAACTAAATTAGATCAGCATAGTTCTGAGTGGAGCTAAAGGTTTACATAAGACAGATGACCCACCCTGGCTGGGAGTGACAGCAACCAATGGGTTTGTGGCCTGAATGAAGTAAAAGGGGAACAAAGAAGAAAGGCTTGCTTTTCTTCAGAGGAGCTCCAGTCTTCATCTTCACTATGGATGTCCCCTCCTGGCTTCCAGTGCAGACTCTTCAGCCTCCTAATGCAGACTCGCACGGGACCCTACAGTGAGCTCAGGCCTTGGACTGGACCCTTCAGATCTCCAGCGCACAGACAGCCCTTTTGTACTTTTCCACACTTGACTCATGGGTGGCCGCTGTAAGCCAATCTTGTGAATTGCTAAGTATTTGTGTATCTTGTATTTAATTTTCTAGTAAGCAATGACTAGTACACCTGTGTTCCCAAATCTCTCCTAAACTCCAATCTACCTAGTGGACACACATAGTTCCATTCACCATGTACACAGCCTGGTATTAAATACCTAATTTACATAATTAATGGCACTAACATTGACTTGGAGCCCATAGAACAGTGGTGGTGAACGTCTGGCCTGCATCCTACAGCAGGCCGGCTGTTATCACGGAAAGCTCTAAAAGATCTGTCATCATTGCTCTCCTTATAAGTTTATTCCTTTCCCTTAACATCTCATTTGTCACTAAATTTCACAGATTCCATCTCAAACACGCATCCTCCAACTTGCCTCCTCCCACGGTCCTAGCTGAACTGTGCCCCATTTCTTACTGCAAAGCTCTCCCCAAGTGACTGACCTCTAATCCACCTTCCCACTGTTTCCTGACTAAACTCCCTACACAGCAGAACTGAGTAGGCCATGCAAGTTAAATTATGGCTCTCAATTTTGACAGGAAACAAGGCACGAGTTTTCAACCTTGTAAATTAAGCCAGTCACAACTGACTAGGCTCTGGCTTTATCTTCTCACCACTATCATCAGCTACCTAAAGTTCAAGACACTCTCCAGATTCACAACAAATATTTTTCTATCTCTACTCATGGTTTCTCCTTATCCTGGCTTTGTTCTAATTTTCCATTTAGGCAATTCCTACTCATCTTTTAAGGTGTAGTTTTCCATGGAGAATAGTTTCCTCTGCATTTTTTTTTTTTCCCGGTACCAGGAATCAAACTCACGACCTTGCACTTGCCAGGCAGGTGCTGTGCCACTGAGCTAAATCCCCAGCCCTCCTCTACATTTCTACAATACCTCTAATATACTACTTAATGTAAGTATTTACACATGCATTAATAGCTAATGAGACACCCATCAAATGTGTAAAACATATTATCATCTTTATATTCCTAGTGACTATGATTCTTCCTAGGACAAGGCTGGTACTTAATAAATGTTAAATTAGTATTATTCTATAAATAACAAATTTTGAGAATTTTAACACCTCAGAGTAAGGAGGTCTTTACAATTCAAACAGATCTTTTTCAAGTAGTTACCATTTATCAGAGAAGGGAATTTATAATGCTGTATAGTTACTTCTTTACACCATTGCCACAGATGGAGATTACTAACGCTATGTAAGTACTTTTATTATACAAAAACAGGAAAATCAAGTAAATAGAAAATTTATTACAATCTATTTTATCTAATCCCTGATTTCTCTGAAGAAAGAGTAAGCAGCTGAGAACCATAATGGTTCTCAAGTGACATGAGTACTTTTCTTCATACAGGTTCTTAAGAACCGTTTTCAAGACCCAGGGCCCAGTCTATTTCATTATTAGAGATGACTAGGTAAAGGAACAGAGAAAAGGGCTCGGTTACAAAGGGGACAGTTCTTCCAAGTGAAGGGTTAGTAATATGTAGAAAACATGCTAAGGTAAAGTCCAAGGCCTCACTAACTGTAGTGGATTGATAACTGGTGGTCAGCTTATAACCCTCAGCTGAACTGAGCAAGCATGGTGCTGGGTGTGGGAGGTCCACCTGGGGATTGCTGCCAGCAGCATAAGCAGCAGACCTGGAGAAGGAGGTGGTTTCTGGGAACTAAAGAGGCTGCTGGGAGCAGACAAAGGCTGTTGGAGCTGGTGGAAGCTGTAAGGAGCTGTTGGTT